TATTTATATTGAGGTATGCCTTACAGCTAAGAAGCAAAGAATGTGGATGTTTTGAAATCATACCAGCTTGAGTATGACTGCAGATATGTTCAGTGTATTAGAGCCTCACGCAAGCTTGATTCTGAAGGCTAATTTTCATAATGAATGGAAACTTGAGGTTGCAGTGACTGTGAAGGGAAAAATACCAACAAGTCCAAAGACAAGTATATGCTGCTATGTGTGAACATTATTACTGATGAGTAGTGTAAAGTTTTTGCTCATTGTATTAGTCGGCCTTAAAGGATACAGTGGGCCTTTAAGAATGGACGTGAAATTGGCCAGAAGTGTGGAAACTCCCACTCTGCCCCATAAACCTGAACACAGCCGATAAGAGATTGTTGTTATCAGGCAGAAGGATTCATAGCAGAACAGTTATACATGTTCTCCAATTATTAACCAACTCAGTCTTTGCCGAGAGATATTCTCCTCATTTACCACATAAAACAAAAGACTTTCTGAACTGTAAACCACTGGACTCCTTTGAGATCACCGTGCTTCTCTTGTTAATGAATTAAAGGCAAAAGAGAAACCCAGAATAGTTGTAGGGCAAATGAAGGAAATGCGTCCTCTTATGCAAAGGAGAGGGTTTTAACCTTAGCCCTGTTTATGGGGCTGAAGTGATAACGTTAAACCTTTCCTGAAGTCTGGTGAGAGTCGAGACAGGAGAGTTCTTGCTTTTGGCAGGGACTCGTTTTAAGTCTATTGCATTTTTAAAGCTCTTTCGAAGTTGGTCAACTTAAAAATATGTACATTCTGTGCATTTCCAAGTAGCCGGTATTTTCTGTAAATGTTCTTTGATGAGAGCCCTAACCTTTCTCTTCATGCCTTCATGAAAAGAGCATATGGAGAGTTTGCTTGTGTTTGTATCAGCGTACAGATGCTGACAGGAAGCCAGATCAACATCAGTCCAGTAAGGGGACATGACCAAGGGCACCCAAAGGTGACAGCTGCCAGCACCCCGGCACTACAGAACCTGTTTGTGTCCCATCGTGAAAGGAGCTCTCAGTCAGAAGGAAACAGAGAGTCTGTTTTTGTTTTCACTTTTTTTCTCCCCCTCAGTAAATACCCAAGACTTTCGTTTCACCAGGTGCTCAGATTCCACTGATGACAGGGCAGTTTACCGGCGATGAATGGCGGCCATCTATCCTAGCCCTGCAGGAAACACGCTCTAACAGTAATACGCACATACAAATGTACACACAGAGACATGTGCATATAGCAATATGCAAAAAAGGCACGGAACGCCACTCACGCCAGTCTTTAGTACTTTGTTTCGTCCTCTCAAACACAAGGCCGGACAAACCCGCACACAAGGAGTATGCTTATTCGTTATACAATGACTTTTTTTTATTGACTTTGTTTGGCGAGGATTAGAAAAGAATCACAATGAATAATAAGTTAAGAATAAGCCAACAGAAAATCAGAACCCACGTACACGACACAAATAATACTCCATTTATTCCCTGCCCTCAGGTTTATGTTCTTGTCATGTTTATAGTACTAATCACTGCATCGAGGCTGCTTGAAATGCATGATAGGCATTTCTATTGTAAACCACTTCAGCGACTGGTGCATTTGGCCAAAACTCGGTTTCACTGTAAAATCAGTTTTGCTCATTTTGAATTCATCATAGATTTAGATTTCCCTTCTTAATTGTGCCTCTTTAATTCATGCATTTGCCTATTGTTTCTGTTGTTAATTGTTACCCACCATCAGTAAAAACAGGGATGCGCCTTTTAAGTAAATTGAATTGCACGTAGTAGAAATTTTCATGCAGCATACACACATTCCTCAAGTTCAAGTGCACACAGACCAATAACCACCCAAGGTTTGTGTGTGCAAATACATCAACAGCTTATTAGCAGAGTGTGTGTGTGTGTTGGTGTGATGATGGGGCTGGCACTGGAAGCAGCGCTGCAGAATAAGCGCATTGAAACAAGCCCGCTCTGCTCTTTTGTTCGGTTGCAGGACACGACCTCCAACGCATCAGCACCTCATTAGGTCATTTGTCCCAAATGGCTCGTTTCAGAGCGGGATTTTACTGCGAGCTGTGGATTTGTGATCTCCCACGGAAGGGGCGTAGTTCATGGAATTCACTCTCCCACCGATCGGGTCGAGATCAGTTAAAATAATTCTTGTCTTCCAATCTCGAATCACCCCAAACAGCACTATAACTGGTGCTGAAATAACACGTTTTTGGTCAGTGAACATTATGTTTCAGTGACTGGCAGAGCGCAGTATTTGGTTTGAGTTTGTGAGTTTATTCTGGAGTTTGTTTGTAAAGATTTCCAATCTCTTTGAATCTAATCAGATGTCCCCGTTAGATTAGCTGCACTCATTCAGACATAACTATCACTTTCAGAATTAATCATCACTTTTACCGCTCACGTGGCTTTCTCTCCGTCTCTTCTCCGGACCTTTGTTCTTCCTGATTCCCCCCACCCCCACCTCTCTTTTTAACCTGGTCGCTCCTCCCTCCCATCATCCTGGGTGTATATCTGTCGTCACTGTGCGGATCAGATTTGTCTGGCAGGTCTATTTTTACCTGACAGTGTTTAGGTTTCACTGCACCTTTCTCATGCCTTCAGCCTTTGTTTTGGTTTAGCTGTGAGTGCTTTCTCCCCTTTTTTTTTCTCCCTCCTCCTCTTCTTCGTGCATCAGACTGTCGGCCACACCCATGGAGCCAACTCTCTACCTGTTTGTGTGTGTTAGCATGCTCGTGTGAACTTTAATTTGTCAGTAAGTTGGTGTGCATGAACAGTATGAAATTCTGCATGCATATGTACAGCATATAAATAGCCTGCATTAAACGGCGTCGTGCATTTATGATCGTAGACACAGTGTGTGGCTTCTGCAGTCTAGATCCTTTTTTTGTTTGACAGCTTGTGCACCTCTGAAGGAGCAATAGTACACATGTAGACTTTAAATGAGAAACGGTGCCAAGGTGCACTTTGGATGAAAATCAAATGTTTTCTACTTAATCAGAAGAAAATATCTGCAGTTTATTTTCTTCTGTACTCTGCCTGTTTCATCCTGTCACCTGAAAATGGTTCTTTTGTGCTCCAGCAGACATTCTGGTAGTTGTAATGATAAATGCTACCTGTTGCATTGAAAACCTGTGTAGCAGACACCCACACAGTGTCTCACTTTTACAATTTTCTTGGCCTCCTCCAACTTTCAAGCCTTTTTTTTTTAATGTAGACCTCACCATCTTTAAATTAGCGAGAGGAGTACAAATAAAAAATACAGTCATAGAGATGTAAGTACTGTGGATCAAAATTAATGAGGTATAAGGTGAAAAATGGGTTTTATAACCTTCCTCGTGCAACTTTTAGTGAGTGAATTGCTAAAGTGGGATGCCTTCTATATGCATCACTGTGAGATATCTGAGAAATCACAAGTTCCTTGAAAAAGAAACTTGTTAGGAACAAGAACGCTGCGCAGCTGGGGATCCCGTCACTACACGGAACCAGATAATCACATCTTATTTACACAGAGCTAATTAGCTACTAGTTATATAATAGGGAGTTATTAACAAACTAATTATCAAATATAAAACCTTCCTTACATGCAAAGCCATTAATGATCTGCCTTCTCATCTTACCATTTTTGATCCAGTAGAGTTCTTTACTCCTATAGTTAGAACTAGATTATATGGCCTGGAACCTTCTCTTTATTTATGCTGCTATACGTCCATCGGGACCTCCCATGATGCAGTGCATCTCTTCTGTTTCCTTTTAATTTCCAGGTATTTGCCTGGTACTGTTGCACGTCATTAGTTTTGTCTTCTCTTTCAGTAGCCTGGGCTTTTTCATCTCTGTCTTCTTTCATTCTGTACATCAGGTCTACGATTACAGGCCCCGCCAGCCTGTCCATTGTTGGTATTGTTTGTTGTTTCTCAATAATTTTTTTTTTGCTTTTCCCTCTCTCCCAACCGGTTGCAGCAGATGGTCGCCCTCTCTAAATGTGATTCTATTGGACGTTTCTCTGTCTAGTGCTCGGTCACGGGGAAGTTGTCAGATTTGCTTCTTTAAGATGACAAGACTTGAACAGACTATGTAAAGTGACCCTAGATTACTTATGTGCTTGGTCTGCCACTGTGTAAATGAAACTTAACTGAAGGTTTGAATCTATTTGCATTTTTTTTTTCTTACAATTTTTTTATGGAATTCTACCTGCGTTGCTCTCGCTGTTGGCTGTTTGCATCTTCTTCTCTTTATCCCAATGGAATGAAAATGTAAAACACGTCCCTTCCTTTGTCCCAATGGATTTTTACTGGCAAAAGCCTGCTGCGCAGTGAAAGCAAAGGGGCAAGGCTTTCAGCTTTCAGCAGGGAAGCATTTGTTTTTAAATGTGTATCACCTGTAAGAGTGTATGCATGTTTATATGACAATGTCCAGGATTATTGCTGCAGCTGCATAATTGTCAGTGAATGATCATTCAAGCACATAGCAGGTGTGATGCACTCTAAAGGCCTGGAGGCTACAGTATTATAAGGTTTACTTGTAGGTGAATTCCCTTTTTAGCTATCTGCCCCAACTGTCAATTGTGGCTGCTTGTCAGGACATTGAGCTTCAGTAGGAAACAGGAATGTGAGCTATGACGCAAGGAGGTTGCTGGGAGAAACAGCATCCTCCAACCATGCTGTGTTTCCTTTTTCATGGAATGGGTGTAACTTTCTGCATCCACGTTCACCAAATAATCTCTTAAAGCGCTGATCAGATTAGGACTCAAAAGCACATGAAAAGAGTCCAAAACTGTGAACATGGAAGTCTGTCGTAAATGGATGGGATCTGTGAGTTTTAACAGCAACAGTCATGTGCAAATCTCAGCTTATGATGTATTGTTATTTAAAGGGTGTGGTAGGATGTTTGTGAAATAACTGTGTGAATGTTTTTTCCCCTAGTTTCAGTACACATTTGAAGTATTTCTGTTAACTTTGCGTCTCTTTTCTTTTTCAGATTCAACTCGAATTAGACAAATACCTTCCCCAGCACAGCAGTCCTCTACTGAGTACCCCGAATGACACTACCGACAAGAAGTACAGACGAGAGAGCGCCTCCGTGGTGGACGAGTACTTCGCAGAGGACAAACCATCCATCCCATACAGCCTCAACATCAACGTCATCCTTCCCAGCACCACTCACCTCCGCACAGGCCTCTACAGGCCCAACACCAAGACCCTCACACCACAGCAGATCAAGACGGAACCTGGGATGGAGGTGCCCTGCTCCATCCCAACCAGCCAGGCCCTTCCAGACTTCACCTCGGTGTTCAGCGTGCCGCCTGTAGTCAACAACGTTTTCATAAAACCGGACATGAGCGCTGGAGGAATGGTGAGCGTGACCACAGGATCTCAGCAGCAGCAGCAGCCAAACTTGGACACAGAGCTTCACATCGGACCTCCACCTCCACAGCCGCAGGTCTACCACATGCCCATCGCGAGCAGTGGCGACCTCACCATGACCCTATCGCACAACAGTCCCTCACCGCACGGCTCCAGCAGCGGCAGGACCATGCTGAACCTCAGCAACGCCACATTGCCGACGACCAACGGCAACTACATGATGGCAGAGCACCAACTGCCACATCATCATCCCGGCTACTACCAGCACTCTCCAAACAACTCATCCCAGCACACAGCGCCACACAGCCTACCGCCTTCGCCACCAAATTCCCAGCCCGGAAGCCCAGACGGCCAGGCAGAGCTGCTGAGCCTAGCACCCCAGGGTCCACCCCCTTACCAGCAGCGTATGGGAGGAATAAAGCTAGCGGGGATGTCTCATCATGCCATGCTGATGACACACGGCCAGGGTGTCTTAACAGGTCCAAAATACAATAGGCGAAACAACCCAGAGCTGGAGAAGAGGAGGATTCACTTCTGCGACTACCCAGGTGGGTGGTCTGTTTCCATATCACTATAAACTATGGTTTACAACTGAAGTTTCTCCATTAGAAAGTAAACCCACGTAGCTGGTTTTAACAACGATTCTCTGAAATGAAAATAAAAATATGAGCCGATGTGAAATGAAACTACGTTATCTGACTTCACTTTCATTTGCATGTCCTATTGTCTGGACCGGTATGTACCATTGTGATGCTCAAGGCAAAACAGTTTCCAAAATCAACATGAACAAGTCAAACCTTGCAGCTTACCAGGATGTACGCAACACATTGATTTTTGTGCCTCACCGCATGACCCCAAAGCCCAGTCAGGGGCAGCTTTTGTCTCGCTGTACTGGGATCTTACTGGTGACATCACCTGAAAGCGCAAAAAGTGGTACACTTTGCCGGCTCAGGGCAGTCGGTGCTTCACTTACAATCTTTTCTAAATTACCAATGGAACACACAAAGCATGGTTCAGTCAATCCCATATCTGCACACACGAACTAGTCCAATTCCCAGTGTCACTGAATGTAAATAAACTCTATACCCAAAGCAACACACATGCAAATCTTTCGGCAATGCACGGCTCTGACCTGCAAACGAAATCCTCACAGTCAGAGAAAATGTGCAAAAACCAGGCTGAAAGCAAACTTTGCATCAGTTACTTTACTCTTCGTTTTATAAATAATACATATTATCGTTGTTCCTTTAACTGTTCATTGCAGTGAAGACTACAACCCGTTGCTATTCAACTAAATTTGCAGTTAAATTAGAAGCAAGATGTTGCATTATGTTATCCAAACAGTGTACTTTTAATATGTTATGAGTAAGTAAACACCTAATGATTTATGTTGAAGACAGATTTTGTGCTGTGTCCTCCTGTCAGCTGTCCTTCTGGTTTATGATCCTCTGTTATTTCCTCACAGGCTGCACCAAAGTTTACACAAAGAGCTCGCATCTGAAGGCACACCAAAGAACACACACAGGTAAGAAAATAATCTCCCCGAGGGCTGAAATACAGTCTTTGCTGTTATTTACAAATTTATACCAATTTTAATTTAGGATTGATTCACCAAACATTCAAAGGTTGGAAGTTAGTTTTTTAACTTTACACTGTAGGTGGTGAAGCAGCAGCATGCTGCAGTCATGCCTCTTTGTCATCCTCTAAGTTCAGTTGCTTTAAGCTTATTTATTTTTGCTTTATGTCGGCGCCAGTTTCGATACACCCAGCAACAATAATAGAGATGATGTTGATGAAGAAGGTAAACGCAATGAAAAGAAAAGGCACAGAAGCAACATATTTGAGTTTTTGTTTTTTCTGCGCCGTGTTTATACATGTTCATACCTGTCCACGTAGCGTCCCCAGTGAAAGAGAACAAAGGGCCGAGGGAGGAGGGTAGGACGAAGAAAAGAAGGGTTAAAAAAAAAAAAAAAGAGGAAAGACACGCAGTTAAATAAAGGCCAAACCAGTTACTCCTGCTTTTCAGTTCCTGAAAGGAAGGATGGAGGAGGAGGAAGGTAGGGGGTTCGGAGAACGGAGCAGGGGGGCGGAGGGGCTGGTTTCAATGTATTTCCCTTCTGTAAGATGAAACCTGTGAATTCCCAGAGGCCCCAGACCTGGATTTTGAAGATTTACTCATGCGATTAAAGCTGCAGAACTCCTCCAGTGTGAAAATATTGACAGAGCGAAGCGTGAACACGTGAATGAACAGACAAATAGAAACAGATCTCTCTGCGGCCATAAATAGATAAGATGAAATTTTATGGATCCCAGTGGGGAAGTTGGGCTGTTGAAGCAGCAGGATGCAGCAGCACAAAAGACAAACGGGCTTCGAAACATGCAGTGAGAATGGTAAACAAAACAAGAGCAATTAAAGAGTACGCTGACAAGTGTGGACCTCAGTGGCTTCAGCCGCATGTTTCAGCGCCTGTTGTTTGTGAAAAGAAAACAAAGTAACCTTTACAGTATTTACTGTATCACTAGCTAAGCAGTATTTTTGGTTGTGGCTCCAAACCTGCAGTTTGTTACGATATCATGATATCAAATGTAGACAAAATTCGGACACTTTTATTATGACCTACAATGTCGAATTTCATATTCTGCCCACGTGCGTTAGATCTGTGTCATGAGGTGTGACTTGCAGTGAATTTATGAGTTGGCACGTGCAGATACCTTTACAAAGCAGAACAAAGACGTTCACATGCCCACACACACCTCGTAGTGCACGTCCCATCCTTATAATCATCTGGCAAGTCGATGCGGCTACTAAATGCGTCTTACTAGCAGACCGCAACTGGACGTAGGCTGAGTGCGTGATGGAGTGATGGGCATTCATTTCAAAGAGTGCGTCACGGTTAGCAGATCCCACAGCAGCAGACATGTCACTGACCAAGGATTCCTGGTTTACTTGTTTTGGTCAGTCCACGGTTCCCACCGCAAGGCTTCGCTTGCTGTCTGGCCAAACCAGGCTTGTTTGGTCTTGTTTTGCATTCAGTTGATGACTCATAAGTTGAGCATGTAAAAGAAACATTGCACCGACTGTTCTGAACTCCAGGAAATGTTTAAGGCAAATCAAAAGAAATTTACAAAGCTAATGCAAGTATTTGAGGCATATCATGACACAATACAGTATATGTGACACAAGGTTTAGTTATTTTATGTGTATTTCCGTAACAAATGTGATTTGCTGGATGGATAGTCGTTTTACATCGGCCTTAAAAATAGCTTGGCTTATCTATTGATTAGGCATCTGCATACTGTGCTTGTGGAGTGCCTCACAGCTGCGTTCTAGGCCCCCCTTTTATTCTCAGATTTATTTGGGTTGCTGAACTTAGTCACACACATGAATCGGTGCGTAATATTGGACCTTAAATATAAACCAAACACTATAAAGTTGCCACTGACTTCACACTGACCTTTTTAAAGTTACATTACAGCATTAACCTTTCTATAATTGGTTCTGTTTGCCTGGGTAGAAGCAGTCCACACCTTTAACTCATAAAGAATGCTGTACGTAGTTTTCTTATCAAAGAAATTGAAAATAATCTATTTTCTAGAGAGATTATCGTTATTTTATTATTAATCTATACATAGTATCTTAACAGGACCTGCCAAGTTTAAACCCATGTTTACATTCTGTAGATCGATAGATAGATAGGACTGATAGGATTGCAGTGTTTGTTTACTCGGTGTGTAACTATGAACCAGTCACAAAAACAAAAGTGAGACATTTACCGAGAGTCTTGTCTCCCACCATTTTATACCACCGAACCAGCAGCTACTCACGGTGTTCAAAGGTGACAAACTGACTGTTATTGATCCCGATTAACCCAAAAGTGTTTAATTGGGATGGCTCATTAACAACTACATAGTAATGTACGCCTGCATGACTGGTGTCAGTCTGTGCGTACAGGGTTTCCTGTGAGATATTAACACATACGTTGCATCAACAGTCTGCCGGCACAGAACCTTTAATGTGGTGAAACATCATCCTTCATTTATGTCTGTTTCAGTTCACTGCCAGAGAGACAGGAGTTGTTTTTCTTAAGGCAATAGTATCAGGAAGTCCTGTGTGTGTGTGTGTGTGTGTGTGTGTGTGTGTGTGTGTGTGTGTGTGTGTGTGTGTGTGCAATACAATATTCTATAAGTCTTTCACAAAGCATTAGTCATGTTTTCCCAGGCTAACAGACTTGTGCTTTTGCAACTTACTGCTAACAAATCATTTGCTGTAGACTGCAGGTCCCCGGTCTGGGCTTGGGTTTAAATCTATAGGGTCCAACAATCTGGTGGCTCATTGAGCTTGAAATCCTCTTTAAGTAAAGATCTTTATGTTCAGATTCCCACCCACAGATTAAAGATTTGCATGTTAAGTGAAATGAAAACTTGAAATTGCTGTATTAGTCTGTCTAGTATGGTCTAATGTTCGTACACAGACCTTTTGGCTCCAGTTTACTTTTACATGTGACCAAATCTTTGGTTACTTTTCAGTCCCTCTGCAGCAAAACTTTAAGGTACTTTAATAAGCTATAGTTACTTAGAGTTACTTTGTTACCCACTACAAAAAAGATAATAAGACAACTAAACTGAAGACTAATAATAACACATTTGCATAATAGGAAATAATAAAGGCCATTAACATCATCGAATGAGGTTATAATTCAATCATAGATATACATTTTTGGTTCGTTATATGTTATTTCTTTTGTTCCTTCCTTCCTTATTCCTAATAGCCATTACGTCTCAATCCTGGTGAGCTTACAGGCATTAACCTCTACATCATAAAGTTGCTTAAGGTTATATAATAATGTGTAATTAATAGTTAACTTTTTCTTTTGCAGCTACAAGACTGCTAAACAATATATACCATAATATTGTGCTATAAGTGTGTATAAGCTTCTTATTCCCTATAATCTCATACTTATATAAAGATCTTAAAAGAAAGTGTTACCAAAAGGACAAAGAAACCCAAATTCATAACCACTGATTAGTTAGATATGTAGTAGCTGCTTTGGTGATATAATTATTCAAATAATGGAAGTTAGTAAATCTTGAGGTATAAAGTGCTGATGTACTAAACCAGGACATGAAGTAATAATATTTAGGAGTAAAGTGTAATGACTAATGTAACGTTAGGCTTACTTATGTTGAAGATTAGACTTGGAAATTGTATAACAGCTTAAGATATGACACTGCCATGATATATTGATGCTGTCACAATATATTAGAGTCAATCCCACAGGACACGTGACTGTTACATATCCCAAGAGGAAGCCCTAAAATATATTGTTATTACAATCTTTAGATTACACCTTATGGAAAATAAGCAAAATATTTCCTCTAAAGTGCATTTAGTGTGTCATTTTAAATTTTATACAGAGGAAGGGTCGGGCTATGTATGTAATCCACTACTGTGATCAACATTTAACAAGACGGAGCACATAGAGGTCGCCCATTTGAATGAGGAAGAGGAAGAGCAGCTAAGCGGCCGTAGCCCAGGTGCCCTCTGTGGAGGCAATCGGCATGAACCCCTGAGGGAGCATCTGATGTGAATATTGTTTAAGTGCATCGCTATCTGTGCTCATCGGCACGTCTGTGATAACAGTCTGCACCTCCCACTGGTTCGTGGGCGTAACCTTGACCGTGGCCTCAGCAGCCACTCCAGCTCTTC